ACATACACATACGAACATTACATCTTTAAATTAAAGCTTAAAATTAATTAAAATTTACATAAGGAATGTCAAGTATATAAATATGATTTAAACGAACGTCTTACTAATCTTTCAATTAAGAATATCTCAACAATTAATAACTTCCAGATCATTTACTTAATAATGCAACGAGAGAAATTCATCAGGAGAGCAAAGATACTAAGTAATCAAGTAAGTCGAACTTCTACTTTCATCAAGATAATAAAAAAAAAGGCACCGATAATGACTCCTTACTTTCATAAGATTAAAGAAAATTGTCTTAATTGTTAGAATCAAAGTGGATCGTCCCAGGATGCTTATCCCTGTGAGTAAATCACTCACATTGTAGTCTAACTAATAATCTGTTAGCTAACTTACCACCTAATCTTGGTTAATCCGATGATGCTCTGGTAATTATACTCGTACTGATGCTATAGTTACCTACTAAATTCACGTCCCTCTGGCCCTTTTCTTCCTCTAATTATATATATAACACTTAACTAACTTTCAACATGGTTTCATCACAGATAACTTGGTAGAGAAGAAGTTCCAAGGAAGAATTTAAAATGGAGATGACAAATCATTGAAAACTAACTCGATACTTTGTTAATAATGTTAGTTCGGATGTTAAATATATGTTAATCTTGATAGTGCAGGTATTGTGGGATTTTCTATTAACGTATCTAGGTAATCAGTACAAGTCATTTAGATAAGACTCAGCTTAATTACGTGAATATTTTACTTCACTTCTCTTTAGGTAATTAAGCTTTAAATACTAAATATATATAAATATATTTATTTATTTTTAAGCAAAATATTGTTTTAAATTTATCTATTTAAATATTTAAAAATAGATTTTTTAATAGTTTTTTTTCCACTTATATTGTGATTATTTTCATGGAAAATTATTCATTTTATAGGTAATATTAAGCCTGGAAATGAGAGTCAAAGTATCTGGAAATCATCGTTTTAGTGAAATTAATGTACAAACGTCTGGAATATGAAAAAAGAAAATGAAAAAAATCGTAATGAATTATTCAAATGATGTATTAAAAAACTGGAAAATTCATCTCCTTCATCCTCCTCCTCCTCTTCCTCTTGGATTTAATAATATAAAAGATTTGTATGTAATTGGTTATCAATGACTGGAAAGAAAAATATTTTGTTTAAATTAATTAAAATGTTAATTATTAAAAAAGTTTTTCCTTCTTTTATATTTAATATTTCTATATTCATTCACTAACTTTAATTTTATCCATTACATTGGCTTGTTTTAATGATGTTTCATCTGATAAATTTAGAAAAAAAATATAAAAACTATTGACTAAAATAATATTTTGTTTAATTATTTGTAACATTTTTTTTCGATTTTTTCAATATAATTTTTGTTTGAATTAATTAAAATTGTGATTATTTAAAAGAATTCTATTTCTTTTAAAAACTTAAAAAATGAGATTTAAATAATAAATAAGATGAAGAATATTACTTATAACTAATTTTTATGCTATTTTATTTAAAATATCAGAAAAATATTTATGAAAAGAATGTTTTTTAAGGGCAAATATTTAAGTTTTTAAAAATTAATTAATGTAAAAAAAATGTTTAAAAACATTTCTAAATTCTAAAATTTTTCCTCTACTTCTTTATCAATAATTTTACTCACAGATGATTTTTTAAAAAATTAAACTATAAACAAAAATATTTATTACAAAAATAATATTT